CATTAATCATGCGGGTCAACCAGACCCGAATGAAAACATTATGTGCCTTTTGTCACTGTACTCTGAAGACGGACCGAGACCGATATGAACTGAAAACGATTTGTTGTTCAAAATAAAACCGGTAACGTGATTTCTACCGCCTTAACGCCATTCTGAAACGATCGCCTAATAAGATTATAAAAACTGGGTTTGACAAAATTCCTCATTATATTAGAGCAAATCTGTGAACAAGAACACATCGACTATAACCTCGAAAGGAAAGATTGGAGCTACCATCCATACAAATCACAGAGAAGCACCATAATAATTTGACGCTGTCTACCTTGACATAGTATAGAACGTAAATGACTATGTAAATAACTAAAGACAACAATTCTTGAGCGCAAAGGATGGACAAACGGATGATATCAGAGAACGGAAAGCAAATATCAGTTGTGATTTTTATGGCTAAGACGAAAAAAATTCGATGTGACAATGTTGCCGTAATTTGTACATCATTTTGCTATCTCTCTGAACGGAGGATGGCACTTGTCACTGTCAAATGTTGTACAAGAAAAGTCAGAAGCAGTGCTGATGATGTTTACCACTATGAGCTTTCAAAAGCCTGAATCGTGTCAACTCACAGATTTTAACTGCAACGAAAATCCTGAGAATGTGCTAAAGGTCTGAATCTTCTCGAACACTATTCGTTTACCTATTTCAAACTGTGCAAAATCCTCTGCCTAATAGCACAGATATGTCCTACGTTTCCAACTGTCCACGTTGCAGAATTTACAAGTAAGCAGAATTTATCTTCAATCAACTAGATGAACATGCACCTTCGGTTATCACGGTGGCAATGAGAAGTTGGCCATACGATGTTCACCTGACCGAAAGAACGATCACGACACCTAGCAGATACATAAGGATGCCACTAGCATCGCATAAAAACAGAGGATGCGAAGTGAAACTGCACATCAAGAATATCATCTACTTTCTGAAGAACAGATGGCCCGTTGTGTACGGCGTTTCCTGTACATCGATACGCTTATATCGGTGCATAATCGAAAAGATTTACATATTTGTTTAAACAGTGTTTGAAATATCAGCATCATCAGCCTTTCCTGATGGATGACAGCTTCTCCAAGCCTTCACCATAAATTTCTGTTTTCTGCGATTTTAAACATCCTAAACAAAAGACCTACTTCGGCGCATCCTGCCATCAATTAGGAGATATCCTTACAAGACGTTTACTATCCTTTGGAATCTAGTATAACATTTCTCTCGTCAAGTAATG